AGATGGCTCTTTTCATATGTTCTGCAAATTAAAAATAAATCAAGTATTTTCCTGAGAAACGAATTGTGTCGAAGAAAGATCTTAGAGGGGTACAATGTTCTAAAGTATTATAAAGAAAAGTAATGAAGATCAAATTATAGGGAATCAAAATATTGTTTGTTAACATAAAACGTATTTTCAAGGAATATAGTGAATACGAATGTACCCAATGGTCACCGCAGCAAAGCACACAATTTTTTTTATAATATTTTATTTTGCAATTTGTTTGAGTACAAACATTTGGCAAAAATGCAAATACTAATTTTTAATACCATGAGAGGAGTAAGGTGCATTGACCGGGCCTCCTAATATTCAATTTTTCAGAATTAACACACAATAAACATTTGATAACTAAACTTAACATACTTAAAAAATATAAAGATGATAAGCATATATAATAATAAAACAGAAAATAATACAAACAAATTTATAGTCGATATGTCCAGGTCTAAAGTATGATATCGTTAAGCTCGGGGTCTGGTAGTGTCACTATTGTCCTTAGTAAGTTATATGGCAAGAAATGTTTTGATGGTTATGTAGTCGTTGTAAGTATTTTGCGCTGGTCTTGTTAATTTCTTCTTTTATAAGCACACAATTTGAAGTGGAATTCATTAGAGTGAATAAGAGGGTGTCTTTGTTTCCGCGCGCCCCACTCGAACTTGCACCTTTCACAGGAGCGTATAATCAAATTCCTCGGAAATGAAATACTAAAAATAGTGAATGCCTCTTAATTCTTTTTGTAGTTTTCCTTGATAATTGTGATGACTCGGCGCCACGCTTGGAGGAAAAAAGTAAAAAACCAAAATCATTATGTGAAAGAAACAAGCACTTATTCGAAAGTGTCCTCAAATACCACCTGCCGTCGCGCTGTTAACATAAATTACCTCTCTCCCTCTCCACAACCTACAATTCGTAAAAGCGTGGTATTTCGACATTTAACATTGCTTTCAATTGAAACACTGTAGATTTCGCGAAAGTGAATTTTGTTTGTCTGAAAATACGATTCTCAATATTATAACTAGAACTTATTTCAAATAATTAATTTATTAAGTTATAAACTAGTGGTGATAAAACATCACGTTCTTTCTCTCCTTTAGTAATAGTTACATTTATACCTTAATTTATCTCCGAATTAACACATCCCAAGTCTTGTTATTTGTAAAACTCATTACAAATGGTGGAATATTTAGTGCGAAAACTAAATATTTTCAAGCAAATATCACCACATTCGACAATTACAACTACTTTCATGCATCTAAATCACGTCACAACAAAGAGACGAAATTCACACAAATTCGCGAGACGCGACGCGGTAAACCATTGTCACATTCCACTTTGATATACTGAAGGTAAGCAATTTTAATTCAATGTACTTCAAATAGGTTTTAAAGAATTTCTTAAAGCTTAATTTGTAAATGTATAACAAATGCTCTAATGTAAGAAGTGAACAAAGAATAAGGAACTAATTCTAACGTATTAAGCATTCAATTGCCTGGAATTACGTTCAAGAAGCGCAGTAAATTCGGAGCGGGCAACTTTTGTTTTCGCAAAATTATACCAAAAAATACTTATATCTTCAAAAATGTCAACATGACCTTATTCGAAGACCTTATTCTCGTACACATTTTATTAAGAACAATGAATATTCCCAAATGTAGTTGTTGGTGAACATTGAAATTTTAACTTTTTAAAAACAAATTCAAAATAACAGCAATTGAACGAATATGGGCATGACACAATTCTCTGAAGCGTCGTTTACGCTATCCAAAGTCGAAATATATTGTGCTGTTTTTAAGTACAAATGGTTTAAAGAAAATTAAAGGTACCTACGTTTGTCACAATATTTCGCAACAAATGCTCATGTTTTTGAAAAATCGAACAGGGCATTATCTTTAGATCCACATTTCATTAATAAACAAATGCTTATTCATAATTGTAGTTGTAGGAAGACATCAAAAGATTAATTTTTCAATTTTCGAAAAATCAGGGTTTTCAACGAACATCCGACCTGCGCAATTCTCTTAAACGTTCTTCACACCATCCAACAACAAAATGTAATTAAAAACTATGTTGCAATTTTTTTTTAATTTGGAAAATTAAAAATGGAGGACTTTATGTAGAGAACCCCTAAACTTAAAATACGTGTTTCAAATTCAAGAGACCGTGACGTCCGCAAGATCGACAGAGACATATCAATTTTGGAGAAAATATATTAGCCTCTAGCGTTGTTCACAGACGGACACACAAACATTTTGCCGTCAATCGACATTTCGGTATCAAACAAAACATGGCTTCCAGCTACACGTTTTAGAGATATTTTTCTAAATTTACCAGCTGAATTTATCCACTTTTTTGTCAGTAGAGCCCTATAATAAGTTTTTCTGCCGAAAATTACCTCGCATCATTTCGTAACATTTTCTCTATCGCGGTAGCGGAAGCGAGAATGTACAAAACCATTCGTGTTACGTATTATTGTGATAAAAAGACAGCTCATCTGAAAGGGGTCATGGTTACTGAAAAATTAATTGGAAAAAATATTGTAAATAATGTTGACGCAGCTACATGTTTTGCAACAGTAAGGAAAATTTGATTTTTTTGCTCATAAAAATTTAAACTTTAACGATACAAAAGCAATTATTTTGGAAAATATTGTTTTAAGTCATCTGGTTTTGGTCTTCAATGAATCGATTAAGATGCCGAAGAAAGGCCACGTCTACACGTCAATGGAGGAATTTACGAACCGCAAATGCAAATGTATATTTATACATATTTATTAACAAGGTGAGGAAGTTTTTCATTGTTAACTTCAAAATTCTCTAGCCTCTGCACCAAACGTTTTTACAAATCAAGGTTATTATAACCATTATTCCATAATATGTTTATTTATTTTTTATCTATCTATCTATTTATTTATTTATTTATTTATTTATTTATTTATTTATTTATTTATTTATTTATTTATTTATTTGTTGTGAAGAATAATTAAGGTCAAGAAACTTACAATAAAAGGGTTATTTATTTGTGTTTTTAAGTTATTTACTTAAGGCCACTTAATAAGTCGCTTCTAGGTCATCAGCGACCCTTATCATTATACAATTGTATAAACAATCATACAATTTTAACAATAATATATTGCATGGTGTGTCCAATCTAGCTTATGTACTATTACAATATTGAGAAGTAATACAGGACTGGATTTGAGCAATTATTTAAAGTTTCCTTCCATTTTTAAAAGCTTTCTCACAGTATCCTTTGCAGGCCATTCAAGAATGAGGTTGGAAGGGGAGACAGTTATACCAGTCTTTGAACATGAATTAAGATTGAAACGACACATCCTTAGTCTTGTCTTATTTAAGTGTTTCCCTGAGAGCTCTGTGTCGAGGATGAATCGGCTGACTAAATAGAGATAGGAAACATTCAACTTCCAGGTGGACGCTAGTTATATAAGGCATGAGTACTTAACTAACTTTTTGAAGTCTTGGAAAATGCATTCCCGGCAACAGATATCAAAACTGCGGTCATATCACTGAGAGAAAAATAAGGGAGTATTACAAATATATTAGGTATAACTATAATTATATTTAAGTTAAAACGTCAGTATTGTATATACGTATTGTGCAATATTGATATTATTTATCTCAATGTAAAGGAGATAATTGCCGCAGTTGATGAGCTTTTTAAATTTTCTAGGAAAATATTTAAATGTCTTATTTCCTTGCAATGTAGTTCTTGCATTTATGGGTCATGAACATGTGTAGAAAGCCTATCGCTCCAATGAAGAATGGGAGCGCGGTTACTCTTTTCAGTGGTGAATGATAAATGCTGTCGTGTCACGTGCCTTACCACAGTAGCCATTGCTAAAAAGGGTAATATGGAGAGACATCTTTTAGATTTACAAAAAGATGTCCATTACGACAAAAAGATTTACATTACAAATATCAAACAGGTTATTTACCATCTTAAATCTCATTTAACAAATCAACAAAGCGTTTTTAAAAGTCCAAGGTTGTAGTCACCAGCAGCAACTATTGCATCATTCAAAGTAAGCTATCTCTTAGCAAATAAAAGTATGACATTTTCCGATGGAGAATTTGTAAATAATTTTTTTATGTCACATTCAGTTTTTAACGATTTTAAGAAATTGTTGCTGGAATTCAAGATCTACAATTTTCTCAAAACAAAGTAATGCGACGAATTCAAATGAGTGGGAATGTAAAGGAGCAGTTGTATAACGACATGTTCTTGTTTTTCCTCTCAGTGCAATAAATCGACTGATATACGTGATACCGCACTATTACTTGTTTTCGTTCGTACGATTTTTAAGTATTTTACCTCTAAAGAAGATTTGTTGGGTATGATTTCTTTGAAGAAAAAGACTAGAGGTGTAGCCATATTCAAAACCTTTAAAAAATCGCTCAATGATTTGAATGTACCACTTTTTAAATTAGTCTCGGGAACAACAAATAGCGCAGCTACAATGTTAAGTTACAGAAATGTTTTTATAGCTCTGTGTCAAAATGAAGAGGAATTCTCAGCCTATGTGATCAACCACTGCATACTTCACCAGCAGTGTTAACTAGCAGGAGACACAACGCTAAACTCAAAAGTGGTAATGGACATTGCATTTAAAATTATTAATTCAATCCGAGGAAGTTCCCTCAAACGGCGTCTCCTCCAACTGCAGCGCGATGAAGGCCCACCTGAATTATTACTACATACCTAAGCCACATGGCTAAGCAGGGGGACATGCTGCAACGATTTCGTGACTTATTGCCTGAAATTATAAATTTTCTTCATGAACAAGATGGAAACTGAGAAAATTTAAATGCTGAAACTTGGCTTAGAGTCTTTGCATTTCTTACCGATTTTACTTTAATATTAAGTCATTTAAATTTAGAATTACAAGGTAAAAATAAAACTAATTAATATGATCAACTGCGTAGACACATGTAAAACAACATTTATTTTGCTAATTGAAGACGTGCAACAAAATAATCTGAATCATTTTCCAAGTATGGAGGATAACCTACAAAACCATAAAAATATTAATTACAAGATGGACAAATAAGTTGCCGAAATCCAAAAAGTACTTGAAGATTTTGAAGTGAGATTCCAGAATTTTGAAAAAATTAAAGAAATAGTGGAATTTATACATTTTCCTTTTAAACAAGACAAACACATTTGCGAAAATATTTAATTTTTGTCCCGAACCATTCATCGCCCTATTATAAGGAAGACGGGAGGAACTGTCAAAAATTTGACCATTTCATTTGCACCATTTCATTTGCTTTTTCGATATTTATTGAAACCATTACTGCATGTTTCATCGCTAGAGCATCACATATTACAGTTCCGACGTTTACCGGGCAGTCATTTGTTGATCTGAAGGCGTTTTGGCCTGGTGTGATTAGGTTGCGGTTTTCCAACATTCGGGAAGTGGAATTGAGCCATTGCGATTTACTTTATGCGAACTTTGTAAAAGCTTATCGCTATGACCAAAATTATGATGTATCAATTAAATATGAATTGTAATACATGTTGTAAAAGTTACAAAATTTTCAATTTATTTGTTCCCTTGATCTTTAGTATGAACCCTTGTCGTCAGTGAACATCTCCTCGAAAATGTAAAAACACAAGTTCGCCGCATTTCAGCACTCAACAAGCGCCGAAAAACTATCCAATTTTCTCGCTTTCGGCCGCAGCGAGAAGAGGCCCCACATCCGCAGAACTCGTCCTCGTTGTGCTGGCTGGCGGCAAAAGAATCGCTCGCCCCTCCTCCGCTAGGGCGCGGTGGCGCCCCCGGCGGGAAAAAAGAGAAGCGCGCCCGCAACCATTAACCTAATCCACTGACCAACGGCGCGCCCGCCCGGAGCGAGCCCGCGCTCCCAGGTCGGCGCTGTGGGCACTTGCTAGAGGCGAGGCCGACGGCAGCCGCTGGCTGGAGGGGGGCTCTAGCGGCCAGCTGCTCTGCTCGGTTGTTTCCGCGGTTTCTCTTATCAATACTGACTAAATGCTCGAGTAGCGCCTCCACAAACGGGCCCCGTCCTCTCCCCTTACGTATTCATACACACTTCATAAGCAGTCCTCTGCCACATAGGCCGGGAGCGTAGGGCTTGTCACGAGGGGAAATTGCCACACCCAAATAAAAACATTTAACTTCACCAAAGGGACTAATGACCGTAGTAGTTGAGGTCGGGCGCATCACTCGCACCCAGCCCCTCACCGCCTAACACCGTGCGACCTTGTGCCCGTAAGTGTAGCCCACAATTCTGCGCTCCACCCTTCCCGACCCGACCCCGACGGCCCAACCCCGAGGCCGCATCTATACTTGTGTTTTTGAAAATTGCAACACCCAGAAGGAATGGTCGGAATCACTTAAAAATCGGTGGATGCGTATCCATAAGTTGTGATTAAATTTGCTAGAGACGGCGTGCACGTTGGCCAGCAGAGCCCTCTTTCGTGTGACGGCAGGTCGTTCAGACGTACAGCCGTCAAACGACGTGGAAACGTGCAATCAAGTCCCGGGATGCCTCGTCGATTGCCACTGAATACATTATCATCATCTGAGTGAGTTCGACGGGGCAGGATTGATCGGTCTCCGGGAAGCGGGTTCTGCGTACCGAGACGATTGCGGCTCGAACGGGGCGCGCTGCTACGACAGCGCTGTGTTTGATCCAATGGGTAGAAGGGTCGTACACAGCGACGAGTAGGTGCTAGACCACACAGTATGGCTGCAGCGCGGCGGCGCCCAGTGGCTCGAGCTTGAAGCCCTGCAACGAGTGTGGTCACGTGTGCGGCGACGGTTCGTCGCCGGCCACTGAGGGCTGCGCTGGTGGGACGCACACCTTTGCGCCGGGTTCCGTTGACCAGAAACCACCATCGCTTCGCACATGAATGAGAACGTGAACATGTTCACGTGTGTGCGGAGTGGTGAACTGTAGTGTTTTCGGACGAGTCCGCCTTTATTTTGACGGCGAACACCATCTTACGAGACGGAAGCATCTGGTTGTGCTCTGGATTATTGTCACTTTGTATACTATTTTAGGGATTTGAATATATTTGGTGAGTTCAAGTACTTTCCTTACCTGTTGCGGTTAACTGGAAATATAATTTCGACTAGTTTTTTGCTATAGCGAAGACAAAGCACAAGATATCCCATTTTAAATTGTTACTGGAACCTTAACAAACTTAAGATTTACGTGTTGGTGATAAGTGTCAAAACCTATAAACAGTTCAGTTTATTTTCGATATTATATCACTGTAATAATTTAATTATTGAAAGATTTTATTGTATTTCTGTGACAAGTGAACGATACCGTTGATTTGAGAGTTACGAGGACGGTGTATCGAACAGTTTTGAATTTGTCTTTCAAATCTTATTTATTATTTATTTTCAAGAAAATTTTTCTGTTAATGCATTTTATCTATTTACGGTCAGTATGGTAAATATACACACCACCTCGGTCAAAAAGACCAAACCCTGACGTCCTCGACCCTGATGCAAATAGAAGGGTAAGGCAAAAGACAGCGTCTTGCGATACTAATACTAGTGTATATTCAGTTCCCACCAAGAATCAATTCAGTGCTTTTGATATAGAAGGCACAACAGAAAACAATGAGGAAACCTTTCCAAAATGGGCGGAAAAGTACGGTAAAATATCAGAATACAAGCAGCTTTAGAGAGCTTCGCGACAACCTACAATGTAATTTGTGTTAGATACCCAAGAAAAACAGGCGCTTGCGCGTAAACGGGGCCACTTATATTGCAGTTTGTGGATTTTGAAAAGGCTTTTCACTCTATCAATAGGGAAGCTTTTATGGCAAAAATTAAATGAGCTAGGCCTCTCACGTAAAGTTTTAAAAATGTTCAAGCGAGCATGTATAGGAAGTAAATTTCTGCGTCAGGTGCGATGACGGAAGTACGACGCAAAAAATAAAAACAACAGTAGGAGAGAAGCAGGGATGTCCTCTTTCACCGCTGCTATTTATCTTGTTTATAAATGATTTATTGACGTTGGTACAGGAAGCGGATACAGCGACTCCGTAATTGATGGCCGAAATCCCCGCTACTACTATATGCTGATGATTTAGTTTTATGCTCGAGGATCGATTGAGGGCTTCCAGAAGAGTTTTAATATATGACACAGTAGACGTTATAAGTGAGAGCATGGGGAATAAAGTAAATATTCAAAAAAGCGAAAGTAGTAATAGTCTTCAAGAATGGGTTATTTGGGGGTAGCAAGAAATGGATACTTACGCTAGGGAAGAAATTGACCGCGGTCAAAAATTTACATTCTATCTTTGGTGGCAAAATCTCATGAATGGGGGATGGAGATAATCACATATTAGACGGCTCACAGCAAAGGAAGAATTGCGCTCAAAGAAATCGTTTGCGCAGTGCGCAGGGTCCGGAATTGCCGGTAAAAGTATGCGATACAATGTTAAAATCGTTAGTTCTCCCAGCTAATGAACTATGGAGGAGAAATCTGGGGAGTGGATAGGATAGATCGATTAGAAAGCATCGAACAGATTATTGCCAAATTAATTCTAGGAGTGTCTAGGTGCGCAGCAAATGCCGGAGTCTTACGATGAGAGGTCAGTAGTATAGGAATTTGGAGGGATTTTAATAATGAAACCTATTAAACCTGGATAAATTAGCGAGATGAAGCAGGCTGACACACTTATACATAGGTGCTTAGAGTGCAATGGCAGGGAAGCGACCATCGCTACTGGGCGTACAAAATTAAAGCGGCTACTTGATCGCGCAGGTTGGGGAGACGTCTCTCCGGAAATGCTGGGAGACAGGGGAACCCATGAGGTAGAAAGGCTGATTTCCCGATAGACTTCGGATATAAAAAGGCAAGAGATCTGGGCAGCAAACGGCTGAAAAACGTTCGCTGGTAGCTCAAATCCATGCGAGTCCATTATGGGGTTCAAAGTTACATACATACTCTCGGAAAGGACGCAAGAGGGGGATACGCTTGGTTCAGGGTTGGGGGGGGGTGGATCAGCGTAAACTTAAGAACGCAATTGGTAATGGCATCTGTTGCTTTACAGTGATAGGAAGACTGGATCCACATCCTCTTAATTTGCGCTGCGCAACGAAACATGGAGAAAAAATGATGGGAAATGGTAATTATTACTTCCCTAAACAGGAACGTAACGCCGCCCAAAACATTTTAGGTGACAAAGACTCTAAATTTATGAAAGAATTAGGAACATTTTTAGGAAAGGTCCGGACCATTAGGGAAACTGAAATAGGGAGTGTGGAAACAGCACTGGTTAGCTGGAGCAGAGCCTAGACTGGAGAGAAATAAACAAGTCAATAAGCTACAATAAGTACGTAATTTTATGATAAGTTAGTAAACAGTCAGTAAACAGAAATAAGTCATAAGTCGTAGTCAATTGGTAAATAACTGGTCAATACAGTAATAAAAATAAAATTGGCATAGTAATAAGCACATCAGGGGTGAAGGGAAGGGGGGATCGAAAATGTAAGGGCAAAGGCGTTGGTGCGACACGATCTTCTGTGGCGCGCGTTTGATTTCAGGTGCTGAGGAGGCCAAGCACTGGAAGGAGACGGCGGGACGCCCGCGCCCGAAAAAAAATAGTTAAAATAAACGTCGGATAGATTAGAATGTACTCGGCTTCTGACGGCAGGTTTTCCCCTTCAGGGGTTTTTTTCCTGAGCCGTACCTTGTGGTCTCTTCCCGGCTTTTGATGCGATGGAGAGCCATTTGGGGTGAATACCAGAGAATTTGAAAGATTAGAACGCGAAAGGATGTAGGTATTGTAATGGCTTAAAGGCCTCGGTCTAGCCACATAGGATCAAGTAATCTAATTCGTTTGTAATAATTACTATTAAATAAAAATAAATAAATAAATAAATAAATAATAACCAAAAGTTCTTTTGACAAAATAGCCGAGAAAAGAAACTAAGAAGAATCTGGCATACTTCAAAATATCCTGAAGACCGTACCAACTACAACAGAGCAACTAGGCAACTAAAACGCCTCTTAAACGAAT